GCAAAGTCAAGTTTTGAGGTGAAATTTCAAGATGAGATGGATAAACTCAACAAACTAGGTAAGAACATTTGTGAGGACTTATTGCATTATGAAAAAACTACTTGGTGCAACACATATTTTAAGGAGTATTCTAGCTTTGACATTGTTGAAAACAATATGTGTGACATTTAATTCTTGGATACTAGCTGCTAGACATAAGGCTATCATAACTATGTTAGAGGAGATTAGGCACAAGATAATGGACAAAAATGTTGCAATGAGGCAATTTGCTGAAACTTGGATCTCAAATATCTCTCATATGGCTAGACTAGTACTCGAAGAGAACAAAGATCTTGCTAGATGTTGTGAGGTTAGCTTCAATGGTGATATTGGATATGAAATCAAAGATGGTCAGTACATGCATATTGGTGACATAATGAAGGAGACATGTACATGTAGAACATGTCAATTGAGGGGCATACCATGTCAACATGTAGTGCTTGCATATCAATATAAAGGCATAGAACCTGAACATCAAGTGGTACATTGGTATAGGAAAGAGATTTCTTGAAGACTTATAACCAATTTCTCCATCCAATACCAAACATGAAAATGTGGCCTCACACTAGTGGTGCAGTGATTGAACCTCCTGAACCAAAAGTCATGCCTGGTAGGCCATCAAAGTGCAAAAGAAAGGCAACGAATGAGCCTAGGAAAAAGTATGGAAAGTTGTCCAAAAGAGGAGTAAAAATGACTTGCTCTAAGTGTCATCAAGTAGGCCACAACAAAAAAGCTTGTCAAACCATGGTAAGTTATTCTTCTCTTCTAATTCATCTATAATTAGCTTCAATTATTTAGAGTAATAAATTATTATTATTATTGTATTAATAGGTTGGGATGGGACAACCTGGAGGCTATACAAGCAGGCAACCATGCTCAAGTCATCCACTAGTGTTTATCCAACAATCAAACTCAAAACAACCACCATTGTTTAGCCAACCATCAAGCTCAAACCAGCCACCAATGTTTAGCCAACAATCAAGCTCAAGTCAGCCACCAGTATTCAGTCATCAAGGTAGTTCTATGTGTTTTGATGTTTCAGTTGTTAGAAGAGAGCAACAACCTGCTAAAACCAGAGGCACGGGTAGAGGCACAGGCAGAGGCATAGGTAGAGGCACTGGCAGAGGCACAAGTAGAAGCACATGTAGAGCACTTGCAGTGGCATTGGTAGAGGCATTGGAGGTGTATAAAGTCAGCAGCCTGATCAACCAAGGGCTATGGGAGATTCAACATCAACAGGAAGACAAAAGAGGACCAAAACTGTAGGATTTGAAATATATACAAATGCAAGTGGTAGCCAAACATTAAATGTAAGTGTAGATAATTTTATTTATTTCTTACTCTACTATATAAAGTCTCATTTTAAGACATTTATATGCAGCCTGGTACTTCAGGAGAAAGAGTACTCCAGGAGCTTACAAGGATGCAGCTCCAACAAATATTGATATTGGTTATAAGCCTCGAGGACTCAAGTGGAATGGTGGAGATGTTGTCATAACTTCACAGTTACAACGTATGAGTCAGTCAAGGAAAAACAAATGTGCATCTAGTGCACCAAGGAATGCCTAATTTCAGCACAAAATTTACTTTTTGGATGTGTAATCAACAATAAAAACTTGTATTGACTGCTTTGAAATGTCTTTTGGTGTATTTTAAGTATATTAACTGATTTGTGGTGACAATAGAGTACTACTTTTAATTATTTCTCATGGATTGGTATGTTTGATTGGAGCTCACTAGAGCAAATTAATCGTATGGTTGATCAGTTATGTTTGTGTTGATTTATATTGTTCTGGAACTCATTAGTCCAATTGATAGTGAAAGTGTATGAACACTTATAATTGTGTTTTACACCATTTTGTGTGAAAATGTTCGAGAATAATTGTGTTTTATTTCAAAAGTCATTTGAACACATTAGAAAACAAATGAGACTAACACATAGTTTGTCTTCATTCCTTCAATCAAAATCAGTACAATAAGAACACAATTGAAGGCAATTACAATAGAAAACCCGATCAAAATTGCCCTCATAGAGAAGACTACAATCTACCAGAAATACTATTATGAAGGAATCTAGTAGAAGACAAATGAGCCAAAGCACTAAGATAATTTTGTTACATAAATCCAAGTAGCTAATATCACCCCTACGACAATGCATATCATCCATACTTTTCTTGATCAATTCCTCTCCAGTTCATATGTTTTGACTCTTTTCAACAAACTCCAAATCACCATCCTAGATTGAGCCGGCATTTCATCATCATACCATCGGAAATATCCACATCCACCTTGTGCCTACAAAATTAAAGAAAAAATTGAATTACAAATAAGGAGATTCTTTACTATATTGTACAGTAAAAATGAATTACCTTTAAAATTTTGCAACAAAGGAACCTACATCCAGGGTTGGATTGCGTCCATGAGGTCTTCATTTCCACAACGACCCCACATTGACATAGCACATTTGTAGTTGAAGAAGCAGAAATCGATGAACAAGATAACTTCGACATTGAAACTTGATGATTAAGAAGGAATCAATGAAGAAGAGATATGTTTTGATGAGCAGCTCCAACTAACTGATGAAGAGGAAGAAAAGAGGAGAAATAAGAGAAAAATGGGAGAAATTAGGGTTAAAAGGGGAAGAAGAGCGTTGGTGGGTGGTTCAGGGATCCACATCAGCGCCTTCAAAACGTCTTCACGCGCTCAAGCGACGTGAGATGCCACATCAATCCACAATGTTTAAAAGAAACAAATTATGGGTGGTTCAATGATTCAATAGGAAAATGGTGTAGTTGAGTTACCTGAGGGGAAAAAACCAACAAGTACAGGGGTCTGTTTATGAGTTCCGCCTAGATGTTTAGAAAATTCACTCCTACCTTATAAATTTCTTTCATCTATAGAAAGATTGATAGAGAAATATTAGAACACTACAACAAAAATAACATTTAGCGGTAATAAATATACGCATTAACAAAGAGTGATAAATCAGTTACCGACATTAGTTAATTGACATTGGATCCAGTGTCATCATACGTTTTAGGGACATTTAGAAAGAGTGTTAAATATTAATGCTGCTAAAAATATATTTTTAACGGCAGTTAAACTATTATCGTTAATTAATTGCCGCTAAAGATCATTTTTTATGTAGTGGTAGGAAAGTTATTACAAAACTATATTTCTCTCTTTTGCTATTTAAGGTTTTAACGACTATGAGATGATTTGTAACGACCGTCATGGTTACGTTGTTTTTGTGATTTGTGTCTATCTTTTCTATTTTACCTTTTTTTGTAGCCTCTGTACTTGTTTTTGATCTACAAAAATAGGTGACATGATTCTCGAGGTAATCAAAAGGGGTTTCGAGGTGTTCTTCACTTTAGAAGGTTTTGAAATTAAGAACGTTTAATTTTAGTTAACATTTCAAGTAAACGAATTCGGAATGGAATTCCAACAGTTCCATTAGAATCAAAAGGTAAATTTTGTGGTAGTCGGATACTGAGGCTTTCAAGAGTGGTTGTGTTATTGGTTAAATTAATTTTCATACGTATAATTCATGTATTATATATATAACTAGAAACGTATTTCTTCCATTTTAAAAGGAAAAATCAAAATTTAATACAATTGATAAGAGATTAAATTTAATAGTTATTTACCTGTTTTAGTCGACCATCAAATGGGTTAATTTTGACATAACAACCAAGTGAAATCATGTGACTAGGGAAATGGGCCTATACTTGTCTTTGATGCGCAGATAGTATTTCCCTTTTCTATATTCTCCTTTTCTTTTCTTTTCTTTTCTTTTATCAACAACTTTCTTATAGTACATGAAATATACTTCACCCGTCATTGAATATAACATGTGAGTTTGCTTTCATCAATCTCATGGCTTGATTTCTCTATGGTGGGTGTGCATCTTAATTTTGAAATGGACATCTCAAAAAAAGGGTTCGTCGAAAAGAAGAAGTAATGCATAATACATTTAAAGAAGAGAAGATCAGCAAAAAATCGTCTTTTAATAGAATTATCTTCGTATAGTAATATTAAGTAGCCAATAAAAAAAAAATCACAAAGCTTTTCTCATACTTAATTAGTAAATCTAACTTCAATTTTTTTCTTGTGTGGTTTACAATATTGCACTTATTTTCTTTATTTTGAGTTCTTTAACCTATTTATTATTAAAATATAAAGAATATAATTTGAGTAATTTATCCTTCTTAATAAAAAAAAATCCACTGTCACTTTAGATATTATTGAATGAAGAAGCAGAAAGATTAGCTTTAGTTTCGAATTCTTCGTTTTCCACTGGCAAAACAGTGGTATGGACAGGCGGCAACAACCAATTAAAATTTCAATCACTTGCTCTGTTTTTTTTCAAAAAAATTATTACTATAATAAATTAAATACTACTATAATAATAACTTAAATGAAAAAGATAAGTATAATATTATATATTAAAGAGAAAATTATATATACATATATATATTACAAATCAAATCTAAAAACAGGTTTTGGACTTTTGGTAATTATTTGTATAAAAGAATTTACAGTCCTCCATAAAGCACGATATAAATATTGAATTATATGAAGTTATTTAAAGAAATTAGTATTAAACTAATGAGACGACTATGTGAATGAAAATTAAAGAATTCCAAGTGAAGCAAGAAGAAGTCGCAAGGCAGACGAGCTATAGAATTTCGACCATTTCAATTTTCAACCAAATATAGGAATTGGAGAATATTAAATCTTCATATGCAAGGAAGCATGAGGCATGAAGCTATAGCATATAATATCATAATCAACTGCTCATTTCGATTTAAATTTACTATATACAAATAAAAGCCTCTGCCGTGAATCGTAATAGAATTTCTATTTTAATAAACACTGAACATCTCTCAAATCATCCAAATACCAATTTTACCTTCTCAATTTTGCCATTCTCACCCAAATCACTTGATTTAAAAGTCAATATTCACTAAAATCTATATTTAGTAATTTTTTTGTACAATGAATAGTTAATTCTTATAATGGAATCAAGAATTGTGTTACATGATAAAGGGCTGCAACATACTGCAGTTGCATCTGTATTCAAGGTAAGAATATTAATCAAAAGACCAAAAATTTATCAACTTGGGTGACATTAATTTCATCATGGTTAGCTTGCGAATTCATTTTGCAGTGTTCATCGTGTTCCTCCTCTTCAACTTTGAACACTCCCTGTACAAATAACTCCACATCAATTTCCTTATTCCCTTTTAAAATACTCAACTCCTCATCAAATGGCGCTGGAATAAACGGTGGCCTTGGAAGTTGCACAATCAAATCCCAGTCTACGGATCTGAAGAAATCGTGACCTTTGATTTCATCCACAGAGATCCTCTGCTTCGGATCCTTTTCGAGTAACTTGTTTATCAAGTTTCTCAATGGCGTCGCCTCACCTACTAAATCTGGCGCCTTGGAGAGTATACGATAATATGTTTCCTTTCTATTTGAGCCCCTAAACGGCGTCGTTCCGTACAGCATCTCGTACAATACTACTCCTAAACACCACCAGTCTACCGAGAAGTCATGGCCGTTACCTAAAATGATCTCCGGCGACAAATACTCCTCGGTTCCGACGAATGAATTTGATTTCTCGACCGGATCGAATTCGAGAGGAGCGAGTCGAGCTGAGTGAATAGAATCGTCTGGAGAGATTTCCGAGTTGCGAAGTTTGTTGAAGCGAGAGAACCGGTTCTTCTTTTTGCTCTTCGACGCGATTTGTACCGATAGTTTAGCTGTTTCTATTTGCGGGGCTTCTGGAGTAGATTTGTGTGGAAGTTTTGTAGAGAGATCGAAATCGATTAGCATTATATGACCATTCTCTTGAATCATCACGTTTTCTGGCTTCAAATCTCTGTATACAATCCCTGATCCATGTAGATGCTCCAATGTCAGCACTAACTCCGCCGCGTAGAATCTGATGAATAAAACAACAGTTTAATTACTATTGTTTAGGAAAAAAATTCACAATCTGATGAATAAAACAACAGTAGTGCAATGTGCAGATATACAGAATGAGTGATTGATTGATTACCTTATGGTATCGTCTGAGAACATTTTTTCAGTTTGTTTTTTCCGAATAGAATTGAGATCACCACCAGGACAGTAATCAATGGCATATCCAACAATCTTATCCGTCGATACAACTCCTTTGAGTTTAGGCAGAAGCGGATGCTGAAATGAATTGAGTACGTCACGCTCGAGGTAGATTCGTTTGTATTCGCTGTTCGTACTGGCTTTGTTCTTCTCAATTGAAGCTCTCAAAATAGTTTTGAGAGCAAGCAACTCACCGTCTTCTGTCTGAACCAAAAACACCACTCCTTTAGCTCCGCGGCCAAGGGCGGAAATTACCTTCAAACTCCGCAATTGTATCGACGCAATCTCTGGCTTTTCAAGGTTGTTCATGACGGAAGGTGACGACCGCAACATGTTGATTGGAGAATCTTTGTGAGTTGGGGAGACTCGATTTAGTTTCTCGAGCAACATACATAACTTGTTAGTCTACTGCGGGCTTTTATAGGGTGAGACTTTTGAGGTATTAACAATTAAAGAATTAGAAGATGTCCCCTCTCTTTTTCCTTGCGGGAGAAGATTGGGAGTGGGACTGATTTTTCTATTTCAAATTCATATGATATTCTTTGACTCCATCTAATTCATACCTTTTCCGTTATTTTTTAATTGTCATATTGTATTTTAAGAATCAATACAATTAATTTTTAAAATTAAATTAAATTATATTTATTTGATATTTTAAAATTAAAATTAAAATAATAAAAATTATACAAAAAGAGTATTATAATTTATTGTAATTTCTTTCGTATCAATATAACGTTGAAGTTCATATTATTTGACTCTAAAAAGACAATTATGACAACTTTAAAAAAACAGAGAAAGTATTAACTAAGTTGTTCAATTATTTAAAGTTCAAGAGATTTTTAGGACTTTTTTTTTTTTATATTTGATTTTTCACTACTTTATATTTTCTAATATAATAGTTTAAAAATTGAAAGAATAATGTAATAGAAAGTAATTTTGAATTTATGTTTTAAAATATTTTTCTTTAGGAGTGTGTTAAACTTCAACAGTTCACTTAATATGGACTAGAAGAAATAATTAGTTTTGATAAAATATAACATCTTACATAATTTAATATTAAAATATTTATTTTATTTTTTAATACAGTAATTTATAATTAGACGGATCATTTAAACTACAGATTATATATTCTTCTTACTATACAATGTCAAAAGGGGATTATTATTTTAATGTAATTGAAAAAGTTGAGGTAATGGATGTGTTCGCTATGGTCAAAGACTTCGGGCGCACGTTCGAATACGGTGTGGTATTCTAGAAGCTCATGTCACGGACTTTTCTGACCTTAACTAAATGACTGTCTTGCATAAATAACTTAATTTTAAGGGTTCTTACGTAAATGTATTATTGATAAAAAATTTTTGATAAAACAATCATATGAATATATCAATATATACAAATAGTGTATAATCGGGTGTATATATTAAGTATTGACCCTTAAAATTAAGTTCTTGTTTTCACCAAAGATAGGAAGAGAATTTGTTGTTAAAAATCTTATAGAAATTCTAAGATTTACTTCGTAAAAGTATGAAAAATACTTACCAAGACTTGGTAGAGTTGAAGAAAGCTTTTGGGAGCTATTGGTGTTGACCAAAGAGTGAAAAGTGATAAAAGAAATTCAAAATAAAGTTTTTATAAAATCTGAAAAAACTAATATATGTCTGAAATACAGTGATATACGGATTGTATACATGGCCTATAGACCTTCTATGGCCCGTGGATTGCTTCCATGAAATTTACGGAAGGATTTCAAGCCTGTTCGATTCCTCGAGCAGGAACCACGATTCGTAAATGCTTTCACAGACGATAGTTTTCAGTTCGTGAAACTTGGAACAAAATTTTCATTCTGGAACATCTCTAGTAAAACGGTCATAACTTAATACTCTGGACTTGAATTTACAAAAGATTGGTGGTGTTGAAAAGAAGACTCCTATACCTTTAATTTAATAGGTCATGGGACACCTAACACTTCATATTCTAAAAGATATAATTGTTTGAAGTTAACTCTTGCACGATTTCATGGAAAAACTCAGTGAATAGAAAATGCTTTAAACTCAGCTTAGTGCTATAGGTCTCTAATGTCCCTAAACCACTTCCAATACACTTCCTACTTAGGAATGAACCTTAACATTCTTGAACAACAAGGAATCTTATACAAATACAAAATACGATTTAGACTTTAGGTTAGAAATTTTTAAGGTATTACAAAGTGAGTATATATATATATATAACAAAACTTTTGTAAGAATATGAAGAAAAAAAATTAAACGTCTTCATTTCATTTGACAAATTTGTTTCATAAAATATTGTTTCTTATAAAAATTTAAGGGCAAACTACATAAATTCCATTAGCTTATGTCCTAATTACTAAGATTCCCAATACTTTCAAATATTACTTCCTCTAGTATATTTCGTGCGTAGGATACATGAGTCTAAATCTGTGAGATACATGTATCTGTCAAAATTTAAAACTGAGATACATATTTATTTGTTTAAATTAATTGGTTGTAACTGATTTTCTCAATTAGAGTAGTAATTAAGGATTTTCAAAATACATGGACAACTAATTCTGAAAATTTAAATTAATTAAATTCCTTAATATAAGGCAGAAATCAAGGAGTGTATCTATGTTTAATTAATTTCATTTTATTATTCTTTAAAATAATAATTTCATTAATATTATTAATAAAAGACAAAAGTATGTATATTTTGGTCATGTAATTTGATTAATTTCACTTTATTACTCTTAAAATAATAAATTCATTAATTTGATGTATATATCAATATAAAATGTATCTCTAAACACTTAGATACATGAGTATCATACAAATACATTCATATGTATCATAGAAGTATCTAGTATTAATTTCATGTATTTTTTATATGTATCTAGTATTAATTACACGTATCTATTTATATGATCTAATATTATTTCATGTATCTTTTATATGTATCAAGTATCAGTTTCATATGTTATATCCAAAAACATTTATCTCAGATAAATACGAAATAACATAACAAATATATATGATACTATTAAGATGCATGATAGAAGACAAATACATAAGACAAGACTCGGATACATGACAGAATAAATTTTGTCAAATATGATTTGAGGCCAAAAATATATATTTTTAATCATTAGTTGCCTTACATTTATTATTTGTATTTGCCCTTTTTGAGCATGAATTTGATGAATGGTGCTAAATAGTATATTTTATTTGTCGGAGTAAATTGGTGTAAAGTTAAAAAAATTTAAAGCTAAAACAATTTAAAGATGGAAGATTATAGAAAAAACCAAGTAGATACTTAATAGATTAAATTGAATATTATATTAATATTTATATATGTATATTCAAACGTTTGCAGAAATCAAAGGAGTCAATTGACTGTTCACTACCTCACTATACGTGGCAGCAGATGAAGAGATGCACAAAATTGTTGAGTCGGTAACAGTTTCACGCTTACAACTAGGAAACCAACTCCTTTTGGTTTTGGTTTCCCAATTTATTTTGGATTCAATTATTTTATTTTGGGTTTTCTATATTTATAAATAGCCTATAATAAGGCTGGGCACTGGACCGGAATGGAACCACCGGACCGAAACGAATCGGTACTGGATCGGAACGGGGCGATTTGATCGGGTTGTTGACCAGTACCGGGATGAACCGGATCGGAACTATCAGGATGGAGGCTCAGTTCCGTCCCGTCCCACTATATACCGGGATAGAACTGGGATGGATTGGAATGGACCGGAACGGAACGGGATGGGATAAACGGGACGGCACATATAGCTATTTCAAAAAATAATTATTATTTTTGAATTACGAAAATACGAATGTTTTTTTTATTTTTCTAAGTTATATTAGTTTATAGTATTTAAGTTTTAAAATTTATAATAATTTTACTGAAGTTTATTTTAAAGATATTTTTTTTTAATTTTTACGTATATAAATTTGTATGTTAAGTTTAATAAAGTTTTTTTTTTTAAGTTTTTGAGCTTATGTAGTTATGTTATAAGTTTTAAATATTTGAATCTTTTGAAGTTTATAAGTTATTAAGTTATACTTATAACTTGTAAGTTAAATAACTTAAGTTTGTAATTTTAAAAAATTAAATAAACAAAAAAGAAATGCTAATAAAAGTAAATAATGACAAAAATATTATTTTTTATTTTAATTAAAAATGATTTACTGGGATCGGACCGGTACCGGAATCGAAATGAACCGGGATGAACGGTACCAATATACCGGTACCAAATCATGATACCGTTCCGTTCCGTGTACCGGTTCAATGTATCCCATCCCGTCCCGAATACTACTGGACCGGAACGGTACCGGTACAACCGGTTCCGGTGCCCTGCCTTAGACTATGAGAATAATTATTAGGGGGAGGTACTTTGTAAGAAAACGTTATCAATATTTTTTAGGGTTCTTTTATTCTCCTTTTTTTCTTAGACATTAGTAGCTAACGACACTTGTTCTGGGGATGCGGATAATTGTTGAACATCAATTATTTTGAATTAATGTTGGTTATCGCTTAAATTAATTTTGTATTCTTGTTTTAGTATTTCATGCTTGATCACCATAGCGATAAATATATTGTCTATTCTTTGACTCGGGAGACAAAGAAGTAGACAGACCAAAGAATACACAAAGCTTGATCTTTCTTGCATATCACTTGATTAGATTCATTTTTAGGATTGACACCCGGACGAATACCAAGCTTGGTTAAGAAACAAGATGAAATTTAAATGCGCGCCAATTAGGATTGTCTATACCCGCTCAACGATATAGTTAGACAACTAATTGGAGTAGGCGATTAGAGGTCGAGAGACCATGATCAATCAACCCTGTAAATCAATAATTTGATAATCGTAGTTAATTCATGCATGAGATGTGATACATAAAACCCTATGCATGCTACAACTCTGAAATTTTCCAACCACTGTAAGTAATCTTATTATTTAATTCATGCATTTTTTTCTTTACAAATAAAAGTCAAACACTTTTGGCTCTCTTAAATAAATAATTAGACTAGTATAATTTAGTAAATAGTTAATTGACAAGTCTTTTGGGTTCGATAATCCGGCTCTTTTAGGGCCATTATATTTCTTGTTCGACCACGTACACTTGCGTGTGCATTTGGAAGCAACCAATTTTTGGGGGCACTGCCGGGGACTTAGAAATTAACTATTCTTCTAGGTTATACTTTTTTCTTTTTATTTATTTATTTATTTTGATACATATTTTTTTTCTACTAATTAATATTCTTCTTGGGATGGACTTTTCGCAAGAAATAGTGGGGAATGA